ATATGAATATGAATATGAATATGAATATGAATATGAATGTGAATATGAATATGAATATGAATATGAATATGAATATGAATATGAATATGAATATGAATATGAATATGAATATGAATATGAATATGAATATGAATATGAATATGAATATTAATATGAATATGAATATGAATATGAATATGAATATGAATATGAATATGAATATGAATATGAATATGAATATGAATATGAATCTGAATATGAATATGAATATGAATATGAATATGAATATGAATATGAATATGAATATGAATATGAATATGAATATGAATATGACTATGAATATGAATATGAATATGAATATGAATATGAATATGAATATGAATATGAATATGAATATGAATATGAATATGAATATGAATATGAATATGAATATGAATATGAATATGAATATGAATATGAATATGAATATGAATATGAATATGAATATGAATATGAATATGAATATGAATATGAACATGAATACGCTTAATTTTGTTGAAATGCTTTTATAGTGCCGTACAATTAATAATCGCAATTAACTCGACAAATGTGCAGCAATAGGTGCAATGTTCAATATAAAATCCATACAAAAATGTGTTAATGTGATAATTATACATGTGAACATAGTAGCACTTTCTGCATTTCCTAAGTATAATAGTCGATTAATCTTTACGTGACGTAATAACAACTACGTCAAGCGTTTTTCAGAATTCATAATTTTTTTGAATTCTCATTGATATGCATAAAAATCGACTACTTAAAGTGATTAAATCTAGAGGTAATAGCTTCTGTTGCTAAAATGATTAGCATTTGCAGAGCTCAATAGTAATCGTACGTCTTACCGTAGTGATTGTATAGCGCTCAACGTTACAGCGAAAGTGAATACCGGCAGATCTAATAATTAAAAAAAAAATATTTCATTGGGAATCCCTAACTTTTTGTGTTAAAATTCATTATATACACGTATATGTTACCAGCGAACTATAAATGTTTTGCTCGTCAATTTAATCAATAAAAAATTAAAAAAAACAAAAAAATTTTTTTTATTGACATGTCATTGATGTAGCCATACTGATCAATATTGATCGTACTAATCTTACTGATCGAATCGATGCCGGTTTCTGCATTTGTTTCAGTTTGTGTACAGACTGAGAGCAAAGAATCATTGCTCAGAGTATGTATGGTCTAGAGCTTTTTAAAAAATGAAAAAAAATATCTTTTTTAAAATACTTTATTTTTTAAATGATTAATGATAATCACATGATTAGACATTTAAATTAATTAATACTAATACCTGGCTTCATATGCTTACAACTAAATTGGTGAAGAATATACCTATGCCGGATACTTAGGTTTAAAATATATATCTGCCAATTCAATTCTTGAAGTTCCGTCAAAATGAACTTCCGTAAATGATTATCGAAAAAGATCGTGGTGTGTCTAATTATTTTAAATTTGCATTAATTAAAAATATTTAATTTTGCTTAAAATTGCAGTGAAACATTTTTATTCTATTTGGATTACTCAATATCAGTGCATGAAATAATATTTAGCAAATTGCTAATTACTTGTTATATCAGCAATTATTTCTAATACTTCTATCACTAAAATTGATTTTAGGCATACAGGCTTTGTTTTTGGATACTCGCATCAAAATTTTTCGCAATACCGAGTTACACAAACGCCGACATAATAACTGTAACGATCAGTAAAGTCAGTCGAATTGTCGTAACCATATTTCAATTGTTTCGAGAATTAGCAAATAGTTGGATCTTCCTAGACATCTCATTAGTTTGCAGTAAATAAGTAAAATGTTTTTACTTTATTATCGTCCATCAAAGATATTAGGGATTAGCTGGTGTGAAATACTGCATTTAGTAAAATTTGATGAAACAATTGAAATATGATTCAAATAGACCTTTCTTCAAACCCCTTAATTCTGTTATTTCCGGTAGGGCTTTGAATCGGAACGGAACCGAAAATGAAACCAAACCGATATAATATATATATATATATATATATATATTTTTTTTTTTAATGGATCAGGAACGCAATTTATACTCAGTATTATCAAAAAACAAAAATAACTGAAAATATGTGATCCTTTTTCATTCAATAAAGTGCGCGAGTATCTTAGTTATATATCCCAATACATTAATACATCCTACATTATCATATTTTGATACTATTTATTTATCAATTGCTAAGGCACCATTTAAATATAATAATACTGGCACAAATCAATTAGTTTTTAACTGGGTTAGGAAATTCGAGTACGAGGTTCACTATGTATATTTTGAGCCTTGACAAGACTGATTGTTGTCAGGTGTCATCTGACGTTTTCATATGAAAATTTGACATTATTAAACATAATCTACCTTAGATTTTTTGTCAAAAGAGCGGTATTTATGTTATTACAGTGAGCGTTATTTATAAATTGAGTATTCCCGAAAAATGGATATTCGTGCGATGATTTATTACGACTTCACGACCTTCGATGGATTATGAAGACAAGAGTGCATTGATTAACTTACTTCCACATTTGGCGATAAAGTTCCATCCTTTGCCACCGCGAAACACTGTCAGAGGTATATTGATTTTAATCGTGATCGCAGTTCGCTCACAGACGCTGAAGAAATACGTGAGGGTCGTCCAAAATCAGTTGTTCAGTGGTTGTGGCAGAAAACATTGATGCTGTGCATAAACTAATAACGAAAGATCGACATGCGACATATTCTGAGATTAAAGAAACCCTGGGTATTAGTTTCACTAGTATACGAGTTTATAAAATATTGCACGATTATTTAGCCATGAGAGCTGTGAGAAAAGTTTGTTCTTGTTGGATCCCCTCATCTCCCATCATTTGACAAAATCGTAAAAAGATTCTCTCTCGTGTCGATTGGTATACACAAATGCTCAAGAGTACAATGGCGGTGCTTTAAAAGATATATACGAGTGCTTCTCAATATTTTATCACCACTGACTTTTCAATTATATTTCGCGCATGAAATTAGTGGTATATTTATTTTGTTTCCTCTATGCTCGGTGTAAGTAACGAAGTAACAATATAAGACAGGCTTAAGATATGTTTAAATTCTGTATATACTAATCGCTTAGTATATACAGAAAGAATGTTATTATTAAAGAATGAACAAATCTAAAATCGACTCGTCTTGAATTTGAAATTTTTAACTGATAATATTTTCAGCACCCACTTTAAATTTGATTGGATCAGTTTTTATTGGATATTCTGAAGAAATTCATTTGGTCATATTTTGTTTTTTTTTTACTACATTGTGCATTTTACATTCAAATTGAAAAATGATTTTTTGTGTAAAGAAAATGTTTAAGAAATCACTGTTTTGAAGAGAGAAAATTGTAAAATTGGTATAAGTCCAAAGAAATAATGTTTATTTATTTATTCGTAGCAAGTTTGCTGAAGACACGAAAGTTGTATCTCTTAAACCAAAAACCTTTTCATTAACACTTTCGCACCTCAATTCGCAGAAAATACAGAAAATCCTTATTATTTCTTCCCTTTATTTCTATTAAAGTAGACCTCTGGGAGGTCTCTCTCATATGAGAGAATTATATATTTCCACGACTCCACCTACTTTGTTCAACAAACATTTTCGTTAAAAGCAGTAGAACAGTTTTCTGTACGGTTTCTTTTACAGGTTGATTTTAAGATACTTTTTATAATACCTCTTTTTGAGAGGGAAAGAAGGGAATTTAGAGAGGAACGACTATTTATTTGTAGTAAGCTTACGAAACACACAAAATTATTATAAACTTTTCTTTAATCCATTAAAACCATAATTTTAGAGCCTTAATTTTAAAATCAACCAAACCTTATATTACACCACTTCAGTAATATGTGTTTTTTAATCAAGGAAGATCACTACATTAAATCTTAATTGTTGCTTTAGAGTAATTGATCTCTCTCGTTATTATTTTTGAAGTCGTCGTCTGTGCTCTTTGAACTTCTCCAATTAGAGGCTTATCAGAGTGAGTATATAGCAAATTCAAAATTTTTATTTATACTAGTATCTATGCATCTTATGAAACTTATCTGCGTTGCTTATCGTAATATTTGATTATCTTGCAGCACGTGATTATCACGCGTAAAAATATAAGAATGAAAAAATTTTACGGGAAGTGAAGGTCATCAGTCTTTTATCAAAAATTTTCAAATGGCCTGGATAAGGCGTATATAACTCTCGTGAAAAAGTACTGTGATTACGCAGTAGTAATGATTCTTGAAACAAAATTGATCCAGATTTTATTTTTGCACATAAATTATTACACAAACAGATAACACAGAGATCACAGTAGTATATCTTATAAACGTTAGTTTATATGTAACCATAACATCAAAATAAGATAATGTTTGGATATAGACGAACGTAATTGTTTAGTTCAGGGGTTCCCAAACGGTGATCCGCGATGTGGCTAAGAATGATCCGTGTACCAAATTTAACTAGTGTAAATACAAAGCTTGTAGTTTGTCCACTGAGACCTCACTTATTAGAAAATAAGCACAAAAAATTTCCAAGTAATTATAAATCTATTTTATAGCCAATATAATGTACCTATGCACTGATACGATTCAATACACATTATACCAGAGATGTAAACTTAAACTTAACTTAAACTGTGTGGTCCCTACTAAAAAGAAATATATTATAGTGGCCCTTGGTCAAAAAAGGTTGGGAACCGCTATTTCAGATGACGTTTTATTTGTTGCTATAGAAATCTGCAATAAAAATCTGTAATCTTTTTTTTTTGGATGAAGCAAATATTTTAGTTTGTTATCTATAAAATTCTATTCCATTTCGAACTATTTCATAATAAGAACAAAATATTATGTATTTACATGTGCCCAATCTTATAATGGAGCAGCTCGCCAGTGTACAGTGAATTTTAATAATACCAAAGTAGAAAAGCGCATTGGTTCGATCTGGGTTTCGACCACAGATCCATGTGCAATTCATTCTTGCGAAGAAGATAACAATGGACTTGTTCGTGAATTGATTACTACTGAGGATTGCAGTGAGTTCTATTGTGACGTGGTAAGTTAGTTTCGCTCAATTTGCATTTTTTTTCTTAGAGCCATGTTATACAGATAGTTATGGACACGTCTAATGTGAAATTGTTGTTATTTTCAATGTAAATTAAAATATTGATGATGAGACCAAGAGAGAAATCTCGATTAAAATTTAGTCACGGTGACAAAGCTTTCTATACCTCATCACGTTGGTCAAAAGTGTGCAGCAGAGGAGTAAATGTAAGAAGCAAATATGTCTGTGTATATATGAAAGTATATCAACGATTGACGATTGCGATATGACTTACTGTATAACACGCATATGACTATCCGTATAACATGACTCTTAAAGCAAATTCCATTTTAAATGTTTAAAGTTGTTGTTTTAAATTGATTTGTATAGGATTCCGAACCTCATCCTCAGCCAGGCACTTGTTGTGGCGTTTGTATGAGAACTAAATGTCATTACAATAACACCATCTATGACATGGGGCAGATGTGGCATAATAAAAATGATTGCACGATTTTGGAATGCGCCAAGCAACCTGACGGCCAATCTAAAATTAACTCATTTCAGAAAAATTGTCCCACTTTACCATTAAATTGTGCAGCTGATGATATATACATAGAAGACTGTTGTAAAGTTTGTCGTTCTAAAGCGAAAGCCAAAAGTTCGTTAAATAACAATGAAGATAGTTGGACAGAAGAGTTTTATAAAAATCATCCGTGCGTACGCGAATGTCGGCTCAATGAACCACCAAAAACGTGTCAATACAATTTCGTTGTAGAATGGTATCAAACATTATCAAAAGCTTGCTTTAACTGTCCACAAAATGCAACAGACTGCCAAAGACCACATTGCATTGTTAGCGATGGTATAGCTCGTAGCATAACCATAGTAAATCGAATGATGCCGGGTCCAGCGATTGAAGTTTGCGAAAATGATATTATTGTTGTTGATGTACAAAATCAGTTGCTTGGAGAAAGTACAACAATTCATTGGCATGGCTTACATCAAAAGAGCACACCATATATGGATGGTGTACCACATATAACTCAATGTCCTATATCTCCGCATTCCACATTTCGTTATACTTTTAAAGCGGATAACTCTGGTACTCACTTTTGGCATTCTCATACTGGCATGCAACGGGGTGATGGTGTATTTGGTTCGCTTATTATACGTCGTCCACGTATCACCGATCCACATGCTCATCTTTATGATTTCGACCTGTCAGAACATGTGATGATAGTTCAGGATTGGGTACATGTACCAGGTGTGGTTATGTTTGCTGACCACCATCACTCTCGCGGCGATAACAAACCTCGCAATTTGTTGGTAAATGGACGTGGCCGCTATTACTACGCTATATGGGATCAAGTAAAAGCTGAACAGAAAAAGAAGATGAAAATTGCTTTCGATGTTAAAAGTGAAACAACATCAGCACCGCAAAACCCTAAAAGCACAGCAGAAGCAAGCATTGAATTATATAGTGAAGTAGAAATAGTAACACCCATATATAATGGTTCCAATAATTACAACAATAACCGTTATGATATAGGCCTTGTAGATAGTTTCAATATGGAGAACTCAAACCAAACGGAAGATACAGTTCCTAAATCAACTTCATTGTTATTCAATCCGCTTAGTAAGCAAACTCAATTTTTAAAGTTCGCAAACAGCACAAGCACTGACAATATATCCATAAATCTCACTACTAAGGTTAATTCTTCCGATCAAAATAATAATAATGATTCACACAATCGAACAAAACGTAATGTTAACGATAATAACATTCCATTGGACGAAATTCCTTTACAAATATTTAATGTAAGGCAAGGTTTCCGTTACCGTTTTCGCATCATCAATGCTGAGTTTTTAAATTGCCCTATTATGGTATCAATTGACAATCATACGTTGTTAGCTATTAACTCCGATAGCTATGACTTTGAACCTATAGAAGTTGGTTCCATAGTAACATATGCCGGAGAACGTTTTGACTTTATTGTTCATGCGAATCAAACGATTGGAAACTATTGGGTGCGTTTTAAGGGTTTAATGGACTGTAGTGAAAAATTTACGTCTGCATTTCAAGTTGCTATTTTGCGATATGAGGGTGCTAATAATACAGAACCCTCTGAACAGTTAGGCTACAATTACAAACCAGAAGGCATTGAACTAAATGTTATGAATCGAGGTTCTGGCTATGACGATTCCTTAACCATAGCCGAAGTTAATGGATTGAAGCAATATGACTCAGAACCAGGCGTAAGTCGAGACGCACTCAAACCTGTTGCCGATTATAAGTTTTTTGTTTATTACGATTTTTATGCTAAAGATAATCCAGTTTATCACTTGGGCGATTATTACGGCATTGATGCAAATCTTACCGACGAGAATCGTGTATTCACACCACAGTTAAATCATATATCTTTAAAGTTTCCGTCTGTAGCTCTGCTTTCAGAACGATACAATTTAGACGATTCAATCTTTTGCAACGAATCCAGTTTAGCACAACAAAATATCGACTGTAGAGAAGAATTTTGCAAGTGTCACCACATGCTGCAGGTGCCTTTGAAATCTATTGTAGAAATAATTATCGTTGATGAGGGCTTCACCTATGATGCTAATCATCCATTTCATTTACATGGCAATGCTTTTCGCGTGGTGGGATTGGAGCGTTTGGGTACTAATGTAACTATCGAAATGGTAAGTTCTTATTAAATTATTAACCCAAATGTACACTCGCAAAATATACTTGAAAAATTATTAAGGAAAGCTGTTATTCTCATATAGTATATTTACTTTATTTTTTATAAAAGTTTTTCATATATCGCGCTATTTCGATCTCCTCACAAACTAATAATTTTTCAATTTCTTCATTGTTAATTAATTTGGGAAGATTTACTTTCCTTATAAACAAAATATATGTATTTGAGTCCCTATCTTAAATCCAAAAATAATACATGAATTATGGAACTTGATATTAAAAAATATACTCGTTCAAATAAGTGTTTGCATTTAAAATGAGTATAAAGCGAAATTAAATCAAAATCTGCATTTGAAATGAAGATAAGGCATAAATCAAAATGAAATGAAGCAAATAGGTGTGGCAAAGGTATTATTTTCTAATTAAGCTTGGATGTGCAAAAATGGTGACTCTGTTAAAAATTGCGATTTCAGATATGTTGATCTGATTTCACCGATATGAAGAAGCTCAACGAAAAAAATGTGTTCTCAAAAATTAGTCCAAATTATTCTATTTAAATCCATAAAATTATTAACACAATTTTTTTCTTTACTATTACTCTTCCTTTCCACATTTCTAGCTTCGTCCTTAAAAATAAGGAATGCGGATAAAGTATATATACCTTTTTAATATGAATATAGAATCAATCTGAAATGCGTGTGAAATAAACTGAAGATGATATTAATATAAAATATAAATAGAAAACTAATATGAAATGAATATGATATGAAATTTAATTGAAATTAAATTAAATATACAATAATTTCTATTTGCAGGTCAAACAACTTGACCGTTACAATTTGTTGAAACGAAATCTGGTGGATCCACCGGTTAAGGACACAGTAACAATTCCAGACGGTGGATACACCATTATTCGTTTCGAAGCGTATAATCCTGGATTTTGGCTGTTTCATTGTCATATTGAATTTCATGCTGAAATTGGTATGGCGCTGATATTTAAAGTTGGTAACAATGATGAGATGGAACCAATACCAAAGAATTTTCCAAGCTGTCATGATTACATGCCCAATGCGGAAGATGATGACAATATAAAATCTACTACTAAAAATAACAAAGAGACGACCACTCAAAAACCAATTGGCGGAAACGACAGCGTTGGAAGAAATTTCAGTCCAAAAGAAACGCTTGTGGTACTTTTTTCGATGATATTTTGGCACACACTGATTAAGTTACTAATATGCTAGATTAATATAAGTAGATCTATATGTTTAAGAAAATATGTTATGAACGTGAAAAATTCAGTTAAAATTAATTCAATCGCTTAGTTATGTGTGAGGCAGTCATCAAAAGTACTTACGATTTTTTCACTTACTATCTGTTGTCTTACGTATATGATACGTATATAATTTTTATGTATAATATTGTAATTTGTAAATATAATGTAATATATATAGCATTATTATACTTTATTAGCTATTTTAATTTATTAAAATCTATTATTAATATTTAGTTTTTAAGTAAAGCATCAATGCACTAGTTAATTCTAACTATTTTAATTCTAAGTACTAAATGCTAAACTTTGTCTATCTTATCTCGAAAAAAATTAAAGTCTTAAACGAACAAATTGACTAGATACTAAAGTAGTTGATATTTAAGAGGGTTTCAAGAAGTCGAACATCTAATAACTTTTATACGAAATACTTTAGTTTAGTTTACTTTAGTTTTAGTAGCAAAGTAGCTGCTATCCTAAAAATAACCAAATATATCTTATGTGCTTGTGACTTAGATCAAATAACAATCAATCAATAAATTTTGACTAAATTGTCGACATGGACTTAAGTATTGGTAGTCAGCAAAGTTGTTAATTTTAAGACAGGACTATTGCTAAACATAATATACATTAATTATAAATAGAAACTGTTTCATCTAACTATGTATATATATATATATATATATATATATATATATATATATATATATATATATATATATATATATATATAACTATATATATAGATGTTTGTACGTACACCTGAGTTTATTTCAGTGTTAAATACTTTATTGAGTAGGGTATTTCCACTATTATCTTTGTATTTCATATTTATAATGCATATACTACCTAATAGTAATATAATATATATACACTATATAGTACTATAATATATATACTATATATAATATATATTAGTGATAATATATATGTAGTAATATACATATAATATATACTATATTATAGTATAAATAATATAATTAATATAATATGATATATATATATATACATATATATATATATATAATATAATATTTGTACTATATTCCATATAATATAATACATATATATATATTAGCATTTAATATAATAAATTACAAATTATGATAATATATGTTACCATTTTGAATACGATAATATCATTAAATATATACAACATATTAAGATTGGTGAGTTGTTCTCTCGAATAACTCATCTCCGATTTAAAATATTTTATAGTATCAGTTAACCATGTCAGCATAAAATTTTGTGATGCTTATTTCGTATATAAAATCAAATAAAAATTTATATAGCTTTCTCTATATAATTTCTCAATGTCTCTTCAGAATTCTTAAATAAATATCAAAAATTTAGAAATGAACCTTTAAAATTCGAGATAGCATTAATATTTTTATTAATCGAAGAGAGATATAAACAATTAAATCTGTGATGAATTATGTTTTTACCACATAATGGGTTGGGAATGAGGTCGTATAACTCTTAATGAATGAATGAATTATATTCGTAAAATGAATTATAAATAATGAAAGTGTGAAAGAATCAAATAGTAATTAAAACGTTTAATATTTTTAATAAAAATTAAAACTGAATATATGTAAACTATAATTAAAATATAAAAAATTATTCAAACATTTAAAACTAGTATAGATTCTTAATAATATTTTGAAATAAATTTGTATAAGTGTTTAAAATAAAGCAAATATATAAATGTATCTATATATAATTAAACAATATTCTTATTATTATTTAATAATTATTATTAAAAAGTTATTTTATGCCCCGAAAATTTAAGATCTATTGTGTCCCCTATTTGAAGTCAATCATAGTGACTCAGTTAGTATATTTTCAATAAATAAGAATATTTGTTCTATTCTTCAAGGCAGAATCTACTTTCGTTTATGCATTAGTGCAGATCATTTCTCCAGCACAAATATCGTATTCTCCTTCTCTTTTAAGATCCTGCAAACTTCAAAATATCGAAAACATTTCTGCAGAAGTGAATGTAATAAATAATTTATGATCAAAAAGATAGAAATAACATAGCTTAGGCTAAATAATGTTCAAGCAGAGAGACCTTACACTATATCACTTTCCCCCTCCCATCGCATTCTGCAGTATCTATGTCGTATGGTTGGCATTTTGTCACAACAACAACAACAAGTGGAGAACTATAATTTTAAAAAGTGTTATATTTTAAGCATCTAACTGTGATTATTGCTAAGCACTGGTGATCACTAAATATAATAACTGATATTAAACGCTTATACACTTGTATGATGTTTTTTAAGCGCATTAGTCTATAAGAATATTTGTACTGCCAACATTGTTATGGATGGGAAATTTGGAATAGTGGAACTAAGAATATTGATAACAAAACTAAGATGATAACATATTTTGAATTATACACTTTCTTGAGCTTGAGCAGATAATGGACAAAAAAAAAAGTAATCCGATGTATAAAAGTTTAGAGTATATCGTGGTTGGAGCACCTGCTGCGCCGTCTATAAAATGTAATCCATGAAAAATAATGTCTCTGAGAGTTCAAGCTCTTAATGCTCTTAGAAAAGCTAATCCGGTAAAATAACTTTTAAACTATGAATGTAAAAAACTATGGGCGAATAGTTGGGCATTGAGAACGAACATCTAAGGAAGCTTTGAACCAACTAAGACTATGATGTTAATGACATAAGTACATGAAACTAACATAAAATATTTTAACAAATTTTTAAAAAATGTAATATAAGAAGTAAATTGATTTTTCTTTTATTTCCAAACTTTATGCATGACTTTCTGTATTTAATAAAGTAACTAGGGGTTACAGGTAAAATAGAGCGATATACATACTACCATTCACATCCGCAAGAGACTATTTGTCAAGTATTATATTATTTAGTATTTATAATATACTGGTATTATAAAAATACATATCAAAATACATATATATTAATGATCATAATACTTTCTGCGATGAAGATTTAAATCTAAGTATACCTTTGAGACAGTATCACATTTCAATTAATAACTAACATCCCTTCTCGCTACTTCCCCTCCTCTACCTTCAATCACTACACATCCACATCCGTACCTATGTAATCGTTTTATAAGTCCTTTCATGATATCTACTTTAAGCAGATGTTGTAGCAACAGTCCATAACTGGTTAATAGACCAACAAAATTTTACCAGAAGATATACTAAATAAAAAACAGAGACAGTAGCAGAATAGTAAACCTATTTCCAAGTAGAAAAATAATACATTTAAAATAAATATATCTGAATACATAAATATTAAATATAAAGAGAGATATAGCATAAGAATATTCTTCTTTTAACTAGAAGGCTAATAGATAACATTTACACAACGCAACACCTGTAACATCAAGAGAAAGTGAAATGGGTCTCTATAAACAAAAAAAGTATATTGAAAGAGAAAAAAATATGAATTGATCTAGAAAGAGACAACATTAAAATGTCCAATAAGTAGAATGCAGTAGTAACAATAGAATTCGTTGATCTAAGTAATACTGCTTAAAAAAACACGTCTTAAAGAGTTATAGCGCTCTCTTCCGTATAAATTGAAAGACTATATATATATACCTCCCATAAATTTATTTCTAATTAATGGCCTATCCATAAGCTTAGTAAAAGCCAATATTTTCCTAAGATTTGGAAGAAGCTCTAACAATAAAATATGAAAAATATAAAAACTATAACAACATCGTCTTACCATACCTAGTATTACAAAATAAAAGTTACATTGAACCCCCTCTTATACTATTCACAAAAAAGACAACCAATTAAGCTTACGCAAATACATGATATATGTAAATATGTATAATATTTATTTTAATAGATGAAAGTCACTTATAATATGTGTAACGTCCCATTCATCTTGGGTTAGTATGATAAGACCAAGTTCGGGATATATATTAATAAAAACACGTTATTACTGCTTGGTTAATTAGTTTTTCAGGCTACGGGTGTTTAAAAACTCATGTAGAGAAAAAGCGCATTACATTCAATATTTACTAAGTTATGGGGAAACTTCGACGAAAAAGTAAAATAGGGAATAGATTTTTAGGGAAGGACTTTCTTGAAAGTTTATCGGACAACTCATGAGTAAGTACAAAAGTCTTATTAAATTTCTTTTAAAAAATGTTAATAACACACATTAATAACAAAAGGCGAATAATCAGTAATGTGTCAGTAAATAATAAAAAAGTTTTTAATAATTAAAAAAGTAATTATTTATACATAAAGTGTACAAATTTCATCACAATTGTCATTTGTACAAAAATATTGTTATAAAAATATTTCGATTCAATACATAATAATAAACAATAACGTTAAATGTTAACAAAGTAATTCCTAATCACATAGACCCGTTTCGACCCTCTCGTTTAAGATGGAAAGCCATTCGGCTTTAGTAAAACTCTCATTGAGTTGCATAAGCTCATCAAATAATTGAGCCTGACATTTGCCGATAGACATAATTGAATTCCAATCATTTTTGACTTTTGTACGCATTTTGGGATACACCAAAGGCAAAGGACAATTGTAGTGTTTAATATGAGCTACCCTTGAACCAAATTCGTCGAGCTGATGAAGACGCTGGCAAACTCCGCATTCAAACGCGGCGAAAAGACTCTTACCGTTCTCACTATATACTCTTGTTGCAAGTTCTTGCTTCAAATGTAAGTTTTCAATTGGATGAAGGCGGTTATATTTATGTGCTAAATATTCGTTATATTCCACATCATTTTTATTTAAGTTTTTAATGAATTCAGCCAAGTCCTTTGGACTATCAAAATCATCAATAAAAATAACAGACTTTGCATTTGGAACCCAATCCTGTAAAAATAAACATTTCAATATACAATACATTCTTACTATTGCTAGTATATGTGTTTACCTTTATGTTAGGAGCACCAAAATATATAGGAATAGACCCAACAATCAGAGCTCGCCAAAGCTTCTCAGTTATATAATCATCACATACACCATTTTCGAATGCCAAAACAAACTTGTATTTTCCCAATAACCTGTACAATTGTGGTGAATATAAATTGTTTAAATAATCTTTCTGTAAACTGTAAAATAAAGGCGTACATAAGTTTATTTATTTAGTTAATATTATAAATTATATACTCTTTTGAAAGATCACGGTTATGCATGCAGTTGCCATAGGAATCAATCTGTATATAATCCATCAATTCACGTACATAATCTTCACGGCCCGACATCGTATCACAATTTGATTGTAAAAATATAATTGGTGCGATCGCCTTATTCGCACTTTTCTTCTGTACGGGTACTAAATAGGTGGAATTTGTGAGATCTCCAACATTGGGAAGATACTGTGTTGTCAGTGGTAAATCACTAAAACGACTAAATGTTGCAGTGTAATTGAAATGCTTTAACACATCCACATATGGCATAAAAGGCACATTACGCGGTGATTCCTCATGGAGTAAGGCCCACATATGCTTTGGTAATCGTGGTAGTGGCATGTTCTCCACTTTTATATTGGAACCATAAATTAGTATAGCCTAAAATATAAAAAAATATTAAAAAGTTGTTAATTTTTTAAAAAAAAAAATATTAAAACCTATAACTCTTCTAGAGTTATTATATAATATTAATGAGTTATTATAAGTCTTCAAATAATTATGCCATTATATGTTATTAAGCTGTAGATTCGTTTAGAAGTACAATACTTATGTTACCGATTGAAATAAGATCACTCTATTTCACGATCGTCCATAGAATACATACAATACATAGGACATACAAAAGCATCTAATAAAAGCCATAACAAAGTATATACATTACAGACTCCCTAGCAAAGAAGGGTGAATGTACTCATTTCATTGGTGCAGAGCCCTTCTGCGGGGTAACAAATAGCTTCACAAATAGGAGAAACAATATCTACTTGAACACTGAAGAACCCAAACAGGCATGCGACAGTCAAAGTGATTCATTGATCCTGATCACATCAAAGTTGATGCTATCATCAACCTTAGCAGAAACGATATTAAAATCTACACTGAACTTCTTACAGGACACTGTTGACTTAATTACCACATGAAGATTATAGGTGTGGTAGAAAGTGACTCCTGTCGACTCTGTCATGAGGAGAAGTTTCCTTCAGAACATGTTCTATGCAACTGCCCAGCGGTGGCAAGACGTAGACTCGATTACCTTGGAAGCGGGATATTAGTCCCAAGTCAAATAGGTAAAATTAAGCCCACAGCAATTACAAGATTTATAAATAGTCTAAAATTGTCCTAGTTGGACCTTTAGGCGCACAATAGATCTTTTAGGTCGGGGTGCTTTAATAGACTGTTACTTAAATAAATATACATTACACATCCCGGTTCAAGTAGAGCTATTAACTGCTTTAATTGTTCAGAAGTATATTAGACTGTTTAGAGAAACGCTCGGTTGGGTAAAAATAGATCATTAGAAAATTAAGTAAGCAAAAACAAAAACAAAAAATTTCATAGTCAACAATATTAGGAACAATAATATATATGTATATTATGAATACAAATAATATACATTTTTTCTTTTTAGTTTTGTTTTTAATAATAAATATTTATATTTATAAATAAATATTTATATATATATTTAAATTTAAAGGTTATCATAAAAAAGTTATGAAAAGACAAATATTCAGTGACTTACGTAAAAGAGAATTTATCAAAAATATGTTTAGATTGGTGTTTATTAAGAACTTTTTTATATATGGTAATTAAAAACAGATTACTAAAAATTTATATAATTAAAAAAAAAAAAATACAAGAATAAATGTAACATATATAGAGGTCCTTACAATATTACTGAATTAAATTGATCGTGTAGAGACTTTTATAAACTAATATATACATTTATTAATGCGACGTGGAACGCCCAGTGTGAACACCTAAGTTTGAAAACCGTACGAGAGTGCTTAACGTGAATGTGCTCTAATATTATGAGATACAACATTAATGGCTACAAAAATTTAAAAAAAATTTTATGTTCCAGAATACAATTAAGACCATTAAATAAATAAGACTTACATTGACTTTAAATCTATTAGTTACTAAATACTATTTTTAACAACTTGAGGATGCAACCGTTCGCTTATATTTTAAAAAATAAATCTATAATTAAAGTAATTCTCAAATGCTCACCTTTGACTTCTCAAGCATACTCTGGTCGCCGACAAATTTGCACCAATATTTTCCGCAAAAGCGAGCATCTTTATAACTAGAAGGCATATAATTCCACCATAGTAAGGTCACATCATCATAACTTTCTTCGTGGCTTCCCTAAAATATAAAAAATTTTTCATATATTGAGAAATAAAATATTGTTTAAAAAATACAACCAATTGCCAAAACAAGTACCCAAAAACTAGCATCCACAGCACCAAAATCAATAAAATACACTTTTTGTGTCGATAAAAACACCGCATCTCAAAATAAAACTAAATCTTTGTTTGAAGTTGAGAAAATAAACGTCACAAATTTTAAAAGATATATCACAGTTATGAAGTTTATTTCATTTATGAGTCTTAAAAATGAGTCGACTACATCTTATCTAATTCTGTTATATTCAAAAAAAAAAAAATAACATTACAAATAAGTCAGCGGCATCTTATCGAAATTTCTACACAAGCCAACATAGGAGCATAGGCGACACATAAGCCGCTGATAAAGCAAATAATTAGTCATAAAAGTAACATTCTTTTATACGGTTTCATTCGCTTAATGATTTTATACTAAAATTACTAAGTGTCTTAAGTAATGATTGTCGCGTGTTTTCCATTATCTATTTTAATAATAATTTAAAACTTAATTTTATATACAATTTATAAGACCTAAACAAATGTAAAAAGCAACAAAACGCAAAACTGCTTTAAAAATTTTCATATTTTTGTTTTTCCTTGCCGCCTTACTAAACAGCCGGTTGTCAAATCCCTTCAGTGTTGTAAATGTGTTGAAATAAAATAAAAAAAATCAACATTGCGCACACACAATTTTCATCACTAAATACCGAGCACACAAAATCGTAATAACAATAACAAATTCTATTATATATTCGAAAATTCGTGCTTATTTGTGTGTATTTGTGCTCTCTCTTTATACTAAATTCAGACGAGAATTTTGTTTGTAATTTTAGCTGTCAAATGTTGCTTTCAAGCAAAATGAAAATTTTTAAACAGCTAAAATTACAAATAAAACTTTTCTGAGAATCCAACATTAACTTTCATTTACTACGAACAGTTGTAATACACATAAAAATCGCGAATTCGGATATTCAAAGACCTTTTTATAAATAATACTTAAAATTGTCATTTTAGTTTTTGCATTAAACTATTAAGCTCGTAAATAAATTAATAATTTCACTACGATACTCACGGGATAATTTACGTGTTATGCAAAAGACTAGAACCGAAATTTTTTTCTTAATTTTAATTGTGATAACTTAATCATATAAAATTCAAGTAATTTGAATTAATAATATTAATATTTGTATTAAAATTACAAAAATTTGTTATTTCATTCATTTCGATGTTGCAATACTACAACAGAGACGTTCTCCCACTCTTGCAATTTTTGTATAGCATTCTTTCATTTCGTGCACCTTGCGACTTTGTAAGACAGAGTGAGTACTCCTAATGAGACTGACAATAGGTTTTAAAATCTTATCACTAATTACATAATATTACAATTTTTATTTAAACTTTACATTTGTATAATGTAAAATAATAAAATATATTACGGGCCTCACTTTTATTCAAATAAATGTTAGGTGATTTATTAATGGAGTTTTCGATTCTTTTTTTTAATCGAGATGGTCTTTTAATGCTTTTTTAATGCAGTTCCATTTTGATTGGTAAATCTAGGGCAAAAAATATAAAACTCTAGATATTTTGCTGGAGTAGCAAGATTACCCTGAAATTAAAAACTGTTTTATATAATTTAATAGATAAACTGTGATTTGATTCGATATATATATTTCTGAAAAATGTGAATGTCTATTAATAGTACTAAAAACATGTTAGATTACTCTGAAAATGTTTAATTGGTCAAAAAATTTGATAGATGGAGAGTAAACGTTGATTGAGTCCAGATTTTTTAATCGAAGACGCTATAAGAAACCAATAAATTTTGACTTAATGTGGAGAAATATTAAACATAAACAGAGTTCCATGCTTTATAGCAAAATTTACAAGAATGAACGCAAGGTGATGAAAATTAAAATAATCGAATAATTGTAAAGAAGGGGCACTTTGTCAGTATCGGGACCAGTTTACTGTTATTATTTACAATTTGGCGATCACTTTATACTGCTGAGTGTTGAAAAGAATACTGATAATTAAAGTCGTGTGACAGCAAACATAAATGGTTAATGTAAATGAATTCTATGCTTTACTTAGTAATGTGGACATTTGTAATATTTGTCATAAATACTTTACTAAACGAAGTTAAGATTATTTTATTAAAGTTTTTTGTTTTCACTTTAAAATATATTTTGATAACATATGCAATTAATTTATTTGTGTCTAATGCATATTTTATGTTAATACGAAAGAATTGTAGAAGACTTTTTCATTGGCATAAACGTTTTTCCAACACTGCTTATTTTCATACAAAATACACAATCCAGTGACGAGCTACGTGCCCATAACAATTATTAATAAAATTTTTTGCAAGGTTGGATCTCAATTTTGATTGGAACGAGAATTAAAGTGACAGTTGTGTGACAGGCGAATTCCTTGTGATGACAAAATATGTCTTATTTTTTTGTTGTTTTTTTATAACAGATCGAAGAGAATAATTAAACAGTACATTAAGTTACGTGTTTAAAGTAAACATTTAAAATCGGAATCATTCAATGTATTAATGCCTTAGAAGTTCACAAATGAAACGTGACACTTTTCAGCGCAAAGACTATAATGATGTGTTTGATACAAACTTTTTGGTATTATTTATGAATTAATTACTGGCGAGAGATAGAAGATAGAAGAGTTATTAAGTGATTCCGTTGCTAATATTTTAAATGAAACATATAGAACATAGTTGAAACTGCAGCTGTTGTGAGCATGACATTTAAATCGCAGCAGGACAATGATCTCCAACATTACAAACAGTTGGGAATCCTGCTTTTATTGTCAATGCGAATCCTTCAAATCAGTAACTGAGTTTGTAATGTAAGCTTTAATTTTATATATGTTTAGTTTTTTGTAACAAATTTTTTAAATATTTTTAGACATTTACGAGAACGCCATTGCACTCGAGAAGGCGGATCATATGTGTGCCGCTATGGTTTCAACGGTGTGTGTCCATCGCTGCCATTGGATGGCGTATCGGATCGCGATTATGACGCACATGTTGCAAAATATCACGTGAATCAGCATTCAAGGGAACTGGCACCAGAATGGTCTGTTTTCTCAGCGGCGCAAAATTTACCGGCTGTGCTGAACGATCCATCACGCGGCAAACAGAATAATTTATTTACGAAAAAATGGGGTGACAACTTTGTTGACAGAGTTGTAATTAGTGATTCACCATATTTGCCAGAAATAACAGATTCGGACTTCGATAGATATATAAACAAAATAGGAAAACGTTATCGAAGGCATGAGCGCCTAAGTGCACAGCAGACAACTATATTAACGACAACAAATGTAACAGGTTCTAAACGAGAGCCAATCACACCAACATCGCCTTTACACGACACTAGTCTTAATGTTATACCTGAAATATTTCTTAAAGAAAATTTAAGTTTAAACCATGCTCCAACATTTGCACTCGTTTTTCCAAACATTGGTTGTTCTACTAGTGAAAAGAACAAAGAATCCGGACGCCTGTTGCAAGAACAACTATCACATTATCTGGACATTATAGAAGTAAAAATAGCACATCAAGTTTCTCGTAAATCGGCTGCCTTCTTTCACGCCATGACGTCCCAAGACGCTATTATGGCACAAATGCAAGAAGCGGCACGTCGGGTGCGAGAGTTACGTACTGCTTTGGATATTCTGCAAAAAACAATTGTCAGGGATTCACTTCAAGTTATGCTATATGCACAGCGTAAGCAGAATTACCAAGAAACTCTAGACAAATTGCGATTAATGGCTACTGTGCACAAAACGCAACCTATGTTACAGCTATTAATGGGCACACAGGACTATGTGGCAGCTTTAGATTTAATAGGTAAAAGCTAAAATGATTTAAGTGAAACGTTTATTCAAATTCAAAATTTGAGACAGCCATATAAATTTAAATTGAATAGGGCAATAAAGTAGTCACAATTTCAGTTGTACTCATATGTACATAGTAGATGAGAGTGATTAGCCCTTTTTTTGCTACTTATTAATATGCCACATTTTTCTAATAATATACATTAACAAAATTAAAAAAAAAAACAATTTAAAAATATAATTAACTAATGCAATTATTCTACAGCTGGCTTATGATTTCATTCTAATAAACCACAGCAAGTAATTGTGAGTTTCTTAATTAACTTTCTCAGCCAATTAATAAAACTCTAAGTTCGAGCATACAAGTCAAGTACAGCTTTTGGACAGTTGGTTAATGACTGATTCTGAGTTTTAAATTTGGCAGGGCACAAGTTCAACCCTTGATACTTGTAGTCTCAACAAAATATTTACGATTATTTAAATATAGGAAATAGTTTCAAGACCACTAATGATGACATCATTCTCGAAACAGCTGTTTGGTCAGCCAAAAATTCAATTAATTATTAATATTATCAAATTTTATTGTTGTTATTTAATACAACACCTCTTTATTGAAAGCAATTATTATTATTATTTATTAAAATTACTAACAACAGCTGGTATTGCGACCAAAAGAGTCTTATTGTACCATATTAAAAACAATAGTTTATATTAAGAATTTGGTCTGTTTCGTCAAAACGGACGTTAAAAATTAATTTGATAAAAAAAGTTAGCTTTAGTTTTGTCAAAGTTGAAATAGCCGTCACACTGATTATAAATCAAATTATCATAATATATAACACTATAATAATTATAAATCATTTATGCTTAAAAAACCTTATAAATCATATACATTATAGCTATATCTGCTATCACTCTGTATGTATAAAAATGGTCTTTCCACATGAAAGTATATGAGAAATTTGTCTACCAGTTACTTTTCACAATCGCTTCGTTATATAGTCAACCAATATTATCATTCTATCAATTAATCTATTTAATATTTGGAAAAATATTTACCTATTTATTTGGATTAAAAAAATTCAAGTTTTAATTTATTTAAAATGGTATATTATCAAACAGTCATTAAGACGGGCGTCGTTAATTCCATTCGTCTGCTTATTAAGAATATATGTTAGACGCTCCAAATAATATACCATTTTGGAAACTTAATATATCTTTATCTAATTGTTTGTTTGAAGGATGTAATTAGTAGTTCTATGGTTGAAGCCTAGTAATTTCAAGAAAATACATAGAAAATAAATAATTTACTCGTAATGTATGCACTGCAAATATAGATTCAGTAAATTAAAATATATTCCCTTTTGGTGACTTAAATGGAACCATGTGCCATAAAGATGAATCATACTTCTGTCGTAAATGAGTATATGAGTTCGTATTGTTAACTTCAATTGTATTTGAGAAAATTTCTGTCATTAATAAGAATACAAATATTATAATTATTTTTTTATAATATACATTATAATCAATATAATTTAATTAATAAAAAACTTTACTGCTTCTTAAAGAAAAACAGACTCTCAGTTGTAACTGCCAATCAGTTTATTTCGCACATGTATTGAACTAAATCTAAAAGGACTGTTGTTAGGCTCTTTCAGGATGTTAGCTAGTTAACAGCAAAATACTAAGTAAGCTTTATTTTGACCAATGCAGTTCTTTGCCAACAATTTTTGTGCTGATGGCTGTATTAAGGCTGGTGCTATTCTTAGATGAATTTGATTTCTTTATCCGTATTTCCTTTTTAAAAATCAATTGCAATATTAAATATGTATTTTGTGTTTTTTTAGGTACAACGCAAGAAATTCTGACGCAAGAACTTGTGGGTATTCACTGTTTTAAGCATTTACCTATGGAACTTATCGAAATGGAAAAATTCATAGATAGCATGCTAACCGCAGAGTTCGAACGTTATGCCTCGGCCGATCTTAATCGGCCACTAAGTGATGTTCTTAAGGAAACAGATAGTGTAAATACAGAGGATGATAAATTAGTTTGCATTGTAATGGGACTGCTGCGTAAAAAGAACTTTCGCTTTGTAAATACATATAAAGATGAAGCAATAGCTACTATACGTGCCCTAATTAAACAGTTTGTTATTGAGGTGATAGCCTCAAGCGACGCGGAGGTATGTTTAACGGGCGCTGGCGAAGAAGCGCAGAGTTTTTCGATTGCCGAATGGATAGCATTGTTGAAGAAAGCGACAGTGGCACTTCTGACAGTACTGCAACGAATAAAGGCTGTGACGAATATTATGCAACAAACAGCAGATGCAGCAGCTGCTCGTAGTGACTTAGCTGTCGGCAACTCGCAAAAGTCAACAGTTAATTTAATCGATTCCGAAGCCTTTTTAACTTCTGTTGACCATATGGTGGTGCAAGAGAAGTTACAAGACTTACTTATAGCCGTTTGTAATTATTGTCACGATCGTTGTGCTACTATGGTGAGTACACAAAGTTTGGAACGTGCAGTAGCTACATTAGATGAAATTGAACAACTGAAGGAAATAGTTACGGAATTCGGTGATGGCTGTGAGGAAATCTGTGGAAGTTCGAGTGTTGCATTAAAGGTGAAACATAAAATGTCATTTTTTTTATTTTTATTTAAATAAAGAATATGATTTTTATAGGTGGCAGTCAAAGTACAAGCATCACGTTTCGCTAATCGATTTCATAGCGAAAAAAAGCAGAAACTCGCTTTTTTGCTGGATTCCGAGCGTTGGCGGCAAGTTGATATACCAAACGAATTCCAAAAAATTATAGATCGTATGTCTTCTTTCGATTTTTCTGTAACGACAAAAACAGTTGAACAGTTTATTACACCAAATGGGCAAGGAAATGATGACAGCAAATTGAATATTGCAACACAAAGTCTAGCAAATCCAGTACTGCTTGTTGAGGGTAAGCCCTATGCATTAGTAGGTGCTGCATTGCTGCTAGTTCAAATGTTAAATGATTACTGCTGTTGTGCGTTGCGCTTGCCGTTAGTTTCTAGTTACTTATCGGGCAATGTCGTCGACTTATTGCGCACATTTAATTCACGTTCATGTCAGCTTATAATAGGTGCTGGAGCAATGCGCGTTGCTGGGCTTAAAACAATTACCAGCACAAATTTAGCTCTAGTATCTCGTTCTTTGCAACTTGTCCTATGGTTGTTACCAATTATGAAAGAGCATTTTTTAAAACTCGATCCATCTGCAACACATGGCTATGAATCTATAACGAAAGATTTTCAAAGTCATATAAAAGAAATTGAAAATAAAATATGCAATATTGTAACTGAACGTATTAGTGTACAGTTAGAACAGTGGGACGCAAGACCTCCGATACCTTCGCAATCATTTCGCAATATTTCAAGACATCTAGTTAAGCTGCATGAAGCTATAGCGCCTATACTTCCTGAACAGCAAATACATACAATATATGGTGTTGTGCATCGCAATTTTAAGGATAGACTTAGAAAACAATTACTTAAAGCGAACATCATCAACAACGGTGGACCACAGCATGGTGTTGTAACATCAGAACTTACATTTTATATGGAGACAGTACGCACGCTAAAAGCTTTACCATTGTACGACCTGAGTGATAGTATCCTTCAGAGTATTTGGGATTTCTAAAGTAATGTTGCCATATGAAAACGCAACAAATTTAACTAAGTGGATAGGGGTTTATAATTTTGTAAAGTCGGTAGATATATATACTTTATTGTGTTACTTTATATTGACAGTTATTAAGCTTAATCTTAAGCGATTAGATATAAGCTTATATACGTTAACATTTAATGTGTTTTATGTCATTAAGTCATTGAATTTGTTTTTATGTGCGCATAAATGAAAAAATTATCTGCTATTGTATAGTAGAAAATAAAGCTGCTAAGTTTAGTCGCAAGGTCATTGTGACATTTTTATTCATGAGCTATTGTCTTTGATTGAATATCCGACTTATATGTACTAGTATCTGAAAGCTGATAGAACATGTTTAACTGTACACCAATTGTTATATGTGGTGGAGAAATGTTCAGATGTTGCCTTATTTTATAATTATTATGATGCAAATGTAAAAAGTTTCTTCTATTTTTTCTGTAATTTTGTTTTCGTACTTATTAGTTTTAATTTTTACAGTTCTCCGGATTTTGTTGACTATTACTTATTCGATACGATAAATATTCTCAATACAAAATAGTTACTTTCTCTTACGAAATCACAATTTATATTTGCATAAACTATTTTATTTTATTAGAGAAAATACTTTTTATTCGTTATTTAGTAGATAAATTTTCTGTTTCAATTTTATATTAAATAAGCTATGTAAAAATTATTTTTAAATAGTAAAAGTCTTAAGTCTATTTCTAATATTATTTGCAATTTAGTAAAATCTTGTTTTTTAGCAAATATTTTTCTTTCCAAAAAAAGTAATAATTTACTTTTGTTTGACGAGATTTTCTGTCTGAAAGACAAATATTTGTATAATTATAAAAATAATCATTTAACTTAAACTTTGATATTTACTAAATTTTACGGACAGAAAATCTAAGCTTAATCCTAGCTAACATCATTTTAACTATATAAAACTCTTTTTATTCTTTGTCAAAGTTTTTATGATTGCTGTAAGAACTTAATAATATTAATTTATATTTTCGTATGAATGCAAAAAAGAAAAATTAAAAATAAAAAAGATTGCAAAACTTTACTTTATAAGACTTTGTTTTGTATCAGTAAAAAATAATATGAAATTTATAAAAACTAAATTTGAAATTTTCTTATTCGTTTCAATAATGTCCAAGAACCGAGCCCTGAGGGACACCGGCATCGATTGGGAAGCAATTTGTCACATACGTTTTTCCTGATATATAAGGCGACAAATATTTGTGGCAATACCCTATTCAGTTATTATTATCCTGTAAATGTCGTTTAACATATGATTTAAGTATTTTTGCCATGATCGTTAAAGTGCCTTTTTGTCAAAGTTTAGATTTGGAAAAGTTTTGTTATTTAGTGTCAACAGGTATGAGTGACGAACACTTCCTTTTATTTTTTTTTTCAAATTATTATTATTATTGTTATTATTAGGCAATTAGTTTTTCCCGACCTAAAAGATCTATTGTGCGCCTAAGGCCCAACTAAAATAATTCAAGATTATTTATAAATCTCGTAGTTGCCGTGGGCTTGATTTTATCTTTTTGATTTGGGACTAAGATCCCGCTTCCAAAGTAGTTAAGTCTACGTCTTGCAGCCGCTGGGCAGTTGCATAGATTATGTTGCAATGTTTCTTTTTCCTTCTGACAGAGGCGACAACCGCACCTAAATTCTTTATGTGGTAATTGAGTCTACAGTGTTCTGTAAGAATTTAAGTGTAAATATTAATTACGTTTCTACTAAGGTTAAGAATAGTGTCAAGTTTGATATGTTCAGGATCAATGAATCTTCTGGACTGTCGCATGCCTTTTTGGGCTCTCCAGTGTTGAAGTAGATTTTGTTTCTCCCGTTCACAGAATAAGTTATTTGTGGAGCTATTTGTTGCCCCGCGGAAGGGCTGGGGACCAATGAAAGGAGTACATGCACCCACCCTTCTTTGCTAGGGAGTCTGCCATTTCATTACCTGTGTGCACTTCATGTCCCAGTGCCCACATAAAAGTAACATAGTTCCTCGATGCTAGGGTATTGAGAAGTTGAAAGCATTCCCAGACCAAATTTGATTGGAATATATTGTTTCCTCGGGTTTTTTTTCAAATAGTTTCAATTAAAGTATTTGAATTGTTTCTTAGCTGTAATTTGTTATTAGATTTTCATATTGGGGTAGTCACAAAACATATGTTTTGTTAAGATGCAACAGTTTTAATAAACCAAGGGTATGCGGGCATCTGTATGAAATCTGGATACTTTCCAATAAAAGGAAATCCAATATTCTCATTAAGATGCTCCGTAGATATATCAGCCTTTTGGTAGTTTTAAACAGGTCACTACAAACTGGGGAACCATGCTAGAAGATTGAATCTCCCTTTCAATAATACCTGTTGCAGCTTTAGACAAGACGATGACAGTGCCTTTCATCTGCTTTGTCTTTGCCCAGTTCATGCACTGCGGCGACTCAACACTCAAAAAGGAGCCTTCCTTTTAAAGGCTCTTAATCAATTAAAAGACCTACCACAAAACAACATTATGATCTTCGCCAAAGGTTCTAGGTGATTTAAAACCTGAGTTTTCCTCTATATACAATAACACAAGGGGCTAATAGGCCTAAGTGGATCGTCGATGTAAATTAATCTAACCTAAAATGTAACAAATGGTATAAGTAAATTTCAGCAAAAATTTTTTTATGCTGTCCCTATATAAATCATATAAAATTTAACTATAATGAGGAATAATTCATTGTCATCCAGAATTTATTTGAAATGTCAGCCGTCAATAACAGTTCAGAAGTTATTGTAACAAAAGCTATTCTAAAAGTGTTGTATAAAAGATTATAGTAAACTTATAAATATTTATAATTCTTTTCAATTACAGTTTTCAATTGCTTTTCTATAATTAGGTTCAAATATATTGGATTGTGTTGATTTGATTTTAATATAAAATATTACTGTTATTTTACAATAAGAACCATACGTATATATACCCACATATTTTCTCAATAATTCTACTTGGAGTAATTAATTGTATATTTGAAGTAACTTTTTACAGAAATCAGAAACAAAACCTTCGAGTCCTCTACAAAAAAAGTTGTGAAAATTTTTTTTGAAATACTATATGTAAATTGTCAATTTTCAATTAAAGGATGTCTAAAATGTATGACGATATCAACATATCAAACGTTCCACTGCTATAAAGATATTCTAATAGTTATTATTATTTTTAAGTTGGGGAATTTCGCAACGTAACGTTAAATTCTTTTTGAATTTAGAGTATTCTTTGAAGCTTAATTTTTTTTATAAGATGTCATATATGGAACTTTCTCATACTTCGTCAAAACAAAAATTATACGATAAACTCCATCAAAATACAATTCTTTTTAAAGGACAATTTATTTAATATTTATTCCTTACTTAAATACAAAAATAAAAAACTGGGATGGAACAAGCAAAACAATAATCGTTCCCTTGGCAACGGAAATGTTTTGGATATTTCATGACAATACCTCTAACGCAAGGCCTCTGTCAAATACAGATGAAATGCACTTTCAGCTTGCAATTTTAAAGAAAACATGTTGGAAAAAGTGGAAAAACCGACTCATCAACAGGAGACTATACAAGATATTGCAGTACGATTACTAAAAGAACAAGTATGTACTTTACCAATCGAGAAGATACCAAAAGAACAGACTATATTTGTGTTGGGAAGTAAATGTGTGGTAAGTTGAAAAAAATTTATGACGAATATAAACATTTTCCATACTGATTAACATTAATTGCCTTTTTCAGGGGAAATCGACAGCAATTAACAAGTTTTTTGATCGTGAATATACAAATCCGAAACCTACTTTAGCTCTCGAGTACTCTTATGGACGGCGTTCACAGAAGCAAGTACTAAATATTTGGGAACTTGGTTCTTTAAAGAGCAGCTCACAGTTATTTGAACTGCCTTTGCGTATGCAAGGTATTGAACATTTTTCTAGTGTACTCATGCTAGACTTATCTCAGCCACAGTGTTTGTGGTCAGATCTAGAAGAGGCCTTTAACGGTTTAAAGAAAGTATCTGATCAAATGCTGGATAGTAGTGATGACGGTGTCCGAGAAAGGTATAGAAATCGTGCAGCTGAACGGATTAAAAAAAATCACAACGAAATATCTACACTTGACTTACAGCCATTTCCAATAGTACTCGTGGGTGGTAAATATGATTTATTCATCGATCAAGGTAATTAAACGATTATTTGAATTATTGGGGCTTTGAATAATAACTGATATATTTCATTTATTATAGAACCTGAGACAAAGATGCACGTTTGTCGTTTTTTACGATCAGTTGCACATTTAGTAGGTGGAAGTCTGTTATTTTATTCCTCTAAACTACCAAAACTTGCAAAAACGTTACGTGATACTTTTAATCATTTGGGATTTGGTAGTCCTACAAATCCATTTCGATCACATACAGTTGATTTTAATGATGCTTTATCTATTTGGTTTGGTACTGATAGCTGGGATAATATTTCAAATGCTGGTCCACAATATCTAAAAGATATAGGCGCTGAACTGAATAAACATGTGCCACAATTACAGGTAAATTTAAACATTGAACCAGTGAAAGAACCAGCGAATGATGCAGGCTTTCGGGAAGGCATAATAGATGAAATGCGTTCACAAAAAATGGAGGAATTAAAATTGATGCTGAAGCAACTAGATTTGCGTGTTCAATTTGAAAATGTGGGACTTCCAAAGTGAACATAAGTTTTATTAAAAGGAATAAATTTATTTAAATGTACTATATATAAGAGTTTGTTTTTGGAGTAGATGAACGTTTTTCTTGTACTTAAATATAATTTAAAAAAATTATAATAAGACTTTTATAACACTTTTTTAGTGAGTTTGATGGCTAAAATTGAAAACTTTGTAATGAAGAAGAAGAAATGAGCTTGTTTGTAAATCGGTCTCTAATGAAAGATAAATATATATAAAAGATTTTTCTAGTGCTTTTTGTTGTAGTACGTTCACTTTCTACCAAAGAAATATATTCTCTATTTTTACATTCTAAGACGTTTTCTCTTTCTTAAAAGATAAAGAAAGCACAAAAAAAAATAGAAAAACTTTTATATACTAGAAGTATCAATAAAATATATGTAATATTTTATACATATAAATATTTATATGTATATATATATAAACGTATATATATTATATATATATATATATATACATGTAATTATTTCTTTACTTGACCTACTTTAATTGTACAACTTTTATTTTAAGACTTTATACTTTAAATAAATAAAATAAAATAAAAAATAAATTAATAAAAGTTGCACCTAAATAAATATTAATTTTTTTTTAAACAAAAATTAATTAATTAGTGATTCCCTTAATATGGATAACTTCAAATTAACAGGTTTCAGTTCACACCTAATATAAAACTTTTAAAAGATTCATTTCTTAACCAACTCTGCTGGTTTTTACCGCATTATGAGGCAATATCTGAGTCATTAAACCGAAACTGTTAATTGGATTAGTCAAAGAAAAGATTTATTAATAACTTATTATTATGAATAAGAGGTGATAGCATTTGTACGATAAATAACATCATCGGTGAAGGGATACCAAGGCAAGTAGCTTATCATATACAAAACCTATGAGCGCATAATTTTTGATATGACGAAACTTATTAATAGCCGTATATTTACTTGATGTTAAGAAAAAGTTGCGACCCTATGCTTCTCCTAGGAGTTAAAGGATTAAATATAAAAAAAAGTCCACAAGAGATGATATATTGCAAATCTTAAATATGCTCTGGTACTCTTGCCTTTCAAACAAACTAGTGCTGGTATAGTCCATTTAATTTGTAAAGACGACTAAACAATAAAAAATTATATACTAAAAATATAGTTGAAACCGGTTTTGTGATATATTTTGTTGTTACGGCACTACCATTTACTGAAATTCACCGTAAAACGTGTTCACAAGAAAATATAATTTTATTGAGACTAACTCTTTTATACATAAAATATTATTTTAAATCGAACCTAGTAGCTTGTTTCCTTAGTCAAGTTTACATGTTTATAGTTCAATGGGATGGAGGGAGTGAGCATACAAGATAAAGTATTGATTGCATTGAACTTGGGAAGTGTCAACACAATTATTGTCACAGTCACAGTTGATACACAGTCTTCATCCGTGCGTAGCGAACTAATATGTGCAGTGAAACTTTTTTTCTGGATATATGAGGTTAAGCATGGTACTTGGAACCCATCTTAAAAAACATTGCTTTAATAAAAACAAAGAGAAAGTACTATTCAGGACACACGCAAACATGTTTAGGAACATAATTTAAGAGTATGCACCTGGGATGTTCGAACTCTGTACAAAGAAGATGTATCTACCATATACAGCTGGCTAATGTTCTCAAGAAATGCAAGGTTAACATTACCGCTAGTGATGAGCCTTAGCGGTTCTTGAATAAAACCTGATTCGAGTATTTACAAAAATAGTAATAATGTAAGGACGGATTTCTTGGCAGCAACTCTAGCAAACTAAAAAAATACGAATTAAACGAACGAATGGAATTTTAGAACACTTTATCAACCTGAAAAATTTGCTATGCTTTCAAGGGAATGTAACCGCTTTGGTGATGATATCCTCAGCATAAGTGAAGTTAGATAGAACGGTTGCGGAGAAGTACTAAACAATTAAGATAATTTAATAATCTATGCAGAAATGCCGAACGATAGTGATTCTCACATACGTGAGGTCGCAGTTTATCTTAGGAGCAAACTTAAGAACGCTGTCATATCTTGGCTAGCCCACTCCGAAAGGAACATAAGCGTACGATTAAGGGGTATTTTAAGTGTTATACAATTTTTTGCAGTTTTATGATTAATTACCACAAATACAATAAGACGCAATCCAAAATTTCACTAATTATAATTCAAAGCTGAAAGCCCGGAACGTACAGTGCGATAAGCAATTGGTAGCGCACACCTACAGCATTGTGATTGACACGATGACTGCAGGAGTGTCAAAAATTGGTAAGCTTTGAGCGAGCATTGTGGAAGCATAAAATGTTGACCTTAGCTGTACAAGACTTAACATAAGAACATCTGTAACTTTACTAACGCATACTGTCAGTACAAACATAAAAACAATTATTTTTTTTCTTTTTCTAATTGTTAATATTGGCACACAATAAGTTAGTAATAAACAAAATAAAATTTGCAAGCTTATTACAGCGTTATATGATTTTCAGTACAGGGGAGTATTTCTATTGCTTTGTTGTAGTAACTGTTGTTTTTGACATTTCTACCTACTAATTTCCGCTGCTGCGCATGTCAAAGTTAGGAACTAATGTATGTCTGTATGTACATATGTGCATATACTTCTACAAGGCCATTAACAGCAGTTACCGCGTATGGGAAAGGAGAGCGGCAACGTCCTTTCATTTGCGCCGCTGCAATTGCGAGAGAATGCTCCAAAAAATGTTGTAAAAAAATGTTCAATTCATAAAATAAGAAACTGTTTCAATTATTGTCAGTTACGCCAGTTGTCAACAAACCTGTCGTCGCGCTCGTCACAGTCGTCGTCGTCGCTGTCGTTGTCGTCGTCATCATCACAGTCATCATCATCAACACCAAATCAAAGAACAATACTTGCGTAAACATTCAATATTAATTACAACATATGTTTTGATGTTTGTTTTGTGCACATTTACGTAAATTTAATACATGTTTAACTCCGCGTATGGCAGTATTTCTCCTACGCCCAATGAATTTCATACGTTTCCAATGTCGTTTGAACGGTGCTATTAACTTGTGTTGCTGATACGCTCTGTAGCTTACATAAGTAAGTTAACTTTATTCTCCAATCAAAAGAAAAAGAAAAAAATAACAATAATAATAAAAAACAAAAAGTGAAATAATAATAATAAACTGGAAAAATGAAAATGGAATATGAAACGAAGCAACAACAATAACGGTAACTGAATGGCTGTGACTGTGGCTGTGGCTGTGGTAACGGGCACGAGTACGGTAACAAGAGCAATGCAATAGAAACAGCAACAACAAAACAATGAAACTCTCCTAAAAATTACAAACTCTACCATCGTATGGTAGCAGCAAATCATAAACATTTGGCAACGCGTCGTGCTACTAGCAAAGCGCATCATTTGTCGTTCTGTGCAGTCAGATTCATTGCCAAATAAATTTTATCTAAATTTATTAAATCCGTGATTGAAAGTTTTAATTTAGTAAATAAATTTAATAAATTAAATATAAAAAAATTAAATATTAAAATACAATTCAATGAATTTTGCGTACTCGAATTTCCGTACTCAGCAATTTTTTGGTTTTTTGCTATTGATAAAAAGTTTCTATTTTTTAAGTGAAGTTTTCAGTTTCGGGGAGTACGTTCAATAAATCCGATGAAGTTTGTGCTCTTTGTTGTGCTCGACGATGTGGTGTAGTATTGTGTAATCGGCGGGTACGGTGCAAGAAAAGAAGTAGGTTCCATTCAGTTAGAAGTTGAAAACCTAAATTTCGAAGTTTTTACTATAAGAAATGATTTACTATAACATCACTTTTTTAAGTGAAACGTGTAGTTTGTGTTTATTGTGAAATTATAAAAGCTTTCAAACACACGACAAAGAAAAAAGTTTCATGCAAAAAGTCAAAGGTTCTTGCTGTTACCGAATTTGAAGCCAGTAATTATTTTTACTACTACTGCAAAAGCAGCAAATAATTCAAGGTACTTATTGCATTATTTTTGTCCTAATAAAATTAAATAAAAATAATACATACATACATATGTGCTATCATAGAGGGGAGTGACTCGATTGAATTAAAAAATGAAAATATATTTTTTTTTTTAAATAAACAATATAACCTTTTTACTATGAGAAGTTCAAAGTTTATATATGTTATTGAAGTCCCAATTTTTATATACCCTTTACGCACATAACATAAAAAAAGTATATCTAGATCGTCATAGTATGATACAGTAAACATCCAAAACATCCAAGACTTATATATATGTACGTATTGTTTTCAACTTATTGGGATATACCAATATAGCCATGTATGTCTCTATCTCTGCCTGTCAGCCAGTTGTACGCAAAGCTATACTCTAAAGTTGAAAATAAATTATTTTGACTATGCAGTTTAGTCTTAATATATCAAAATATATAATGGCAAGGCTTGTCGTATCTTTGCCTGTTAGTCAGTTTTACTGAATATTAGATTCAAAAATCAAAAATAAAATTTGACTATATAGTGTACTCTGCATATAAAGAAAGATGTTATGTTAAGGCTGTTCGTATCTCTGAAAGTTAATTCTAGACTCCAAAGTCAAAAACAAAATTTGGATATACAGTTTACTCTCGATAAAACGTAATATCAAAAAACGTAATGTCAAAATTATTCGTTTCTCTACCTGTGTGTCGATTTTACTCAAAACTAGACTCAAAAGTCAAAAATATAATTTGGATAAACAGTTAACTTTCGATATAACGAAAGATGTGATATCAAGGCTTTTGTTATCTCTATTTTTCAGCCATTTTTACTCTAAACTGTACTTTAGAGTCAAAAATAATGTTTAGAACGACTATTAACTCTCGATATAACTGAATATATAATGTCAAGACTTTTCGTATCTCTGAAAGTTAAATATAGACTCTAAAGTCAAAAACTAAATTTGGATATACAGTTTACTCTCGATAAAAAGCAAAATATAATGTCAAGGCTTTTTATATCTCT